ATCAGAGGGGGGTATATATATACACACATACATACAGATGAGAGAGAAGAAGGGATAGAGATGACCGGTGGGGGGTGGGTGGGTTTAGGAGGGGGGGGGGGGGGAAAGAAGCGGTTGAGTTTGGGGGGATATGGAACACAGCTGGCAAAAGGACACGCGTCACATCCCAGGCTCTACACTGATTTACACATACGCATCATTACTGCACTCTCCTTTTACATGCGTAAACTTCACTCTCTTTCCTCTTTTGCCTATTTTGCCCTTTCTCTATCCCTTTTTATTAATAGTATGTCATGGTACGTTTATTTAAATTCGTTACTTTTTGATGTCATTGTGAAACACCAATTTGTTATAACGTGACATAATTTGAAATATTTTTTGAAATTATTTATGTAATTAGAAATATTCAACTTTTGATAATCAATTACCATGTATAGCGTTGATTTGTTATTGTAATAATAAGATAGATAGGTAAATAACAATCAAGAATGATTCAGGAATTTTAATGAAATTTGGGGTATCACTATTGAAAGGAATTTTGAAAATTTACCATGTATAACAAAATGTATTAATTATTAGCAAGGAGAAATAAAAAATATTAGCAAGGAAAGGGGCGTTTGCAAAAATATAATAGATAAAAGAGATTTTTAAACAATAAACAAAAAGTGCAATTTGCAAAACAGTCCTAAACAATAATATTCTTCCACATGAGGACGGTCGATTTTGATATTTTTTTCTAAAGGTTCTCTACTTTTCAATAACGAAATTGCCCTCATCTTCTTCCTCTCCGTTCCATAAACTCCCTTGCAAACGCTTCACACATTCTCCAAACTCAGCCTCGCCCACACCGGTCATTGCGAAAATTCTACTCCGCACAGTCAAACACATATACACACACACAGTCACATACTCACACAGTGATACACACACACGCGCATATACAGACATATGAACACATACGCGCGCGCCCACACTTTATGGGATGATATACTATATTTTAGGGTGCTAAAAGATATTATTAATTCTTACTGGAGGTGGAAAGTTTAAAACTGCTATACTTCAAGGGTTGAAAATGAAATTAAACCCTTTTATTTATATTTATATACATGTCCAAGGAACAAAAGTTTCGTTTCTTTTTGTCATTGTTTTGGAAGTTATGTAGACTTTTGGGGACACTCAATTAAATTAAGGGCCATTAAAATAAAATCCAACCGAATTTTACACCCCAAACAAGTAACGGCTCTGAAAATAAACGAATAATATATATATATATATATATATATATATATATATATATAATATGAGAGAGAGAGAGAGAGAGAGAGAAAGAGAGAGAGAGAGAGAGAGCCATCAGCTTTGACTGAGAAGATAGGGATGGGGGCCAGGCTGGAGAGCATTTGCTTTCATAATTGTGTGTATTAATTAATTTGGGTTATTTCTGGTTAAAAAAACGGCCGCACGGAGTTTGCTGACGTGGCAGATAACGACAAGTATTGTCGCTAAATCGGAGGGCGTATCATTACTACAATCCTGCAACTCCAGCCTGTAAAACTCTTTTTTAATATTTGGGGGAAAAACTCCCGTAATATAATATTAACCGGGATTAGCCGGTAACCGTCCTTTCCTATTAAAAAGCTTACCTGTACGGATCCCATGCTCAATCCCTTGCACGCTTCTCTATGACCGGCTTCAACGTTTTCCTGGTACCTTCCTTCTTTCCACATTTTTTAAATTGATAAATAATAAATAATACGAATATTACTACTATTACGTAACAGTTTCGTTCTTAATATCTTTAAAATGGAAAACAATTGCAGTTTTGGTCCTTCAACTTTGTACTGATTATATATTTGGTCATAATATTAAAAAACAACACATTTGGTTTATCATTTTTCGAAAGGCTTTTGGCCCTAAATGTCAATTTACTGTTATCCATCAGATACGACAGTGACGGACACATGTTTGATATCTTTAGGTACTAACGAAAATTTGACAAAAATGATCAAAAATTTCTAATTTTTGAAACATATATAAAGAACTAAATATGCTTTTTTTTAATAAAGATGACCAAATGTACGATCGATGTAAATTTAAAGGACAAAAAATATATTATATCCTTTTCAAAAAAAGAGAAATTCTCCTTGAATTAAATTTTTTTTTTCTTTTTTTTTTTTTGTGTCGAATATGGTTCTTTATAATAATAATAAATCAAACTCGAAACAATATTTCAACGAATAATCTAGTAATAAGTATCGAGTAGCTAAATTGATTTGATTTGCAACCCTAGTTGTGTTTGTGTTTGACACTATAAAACAAAAAAATAACTGAAGTGAAAAATTAGTAACATTGTTTTGTTTCGATTGACAATGTTACTAGCAATTGTATACTAAATCTTGAAAGTAATTATCAATATTTCAAACCTAATATATGTATATATGCATGTGAATAATTGGATAAGGTAAAGAAAATTTGTATCTGTCTTTCCGGTGCTCTCGTACGTTGTACCTGTACCTAATACCTAATGCCCAGTTGTTTATGTGTGGGTATTGGGTTTTACAATTAACTAGTATTTCACCCGTGCGTTGCACGGGGTATTCATCGTAAAAATAAATATTTGATTAAAAAAAATTATCGAAATAGTAGGATCAATGATATGCAATACAAAGTAGTAGAAAAGTAAAAGAAAATAAAAAATATATTCCGTATTGTGTAAGTAATGAATATCAGTACCAGTACCAGTACCAATATCAATACAAATACCAATACAAATACCAATACCATTACCATTATCATTACCATTACCATTACCATCATCAATACCAATACCATTTGCATTACCATAACCATGATCATTACCATTGTAGTTACCATCACCAATACCAATACCTATAGCAATACCAATCCTTATTATTATCATTACCATTACTAATGCTAATACTAATACTAATATGATAATAATACTATTACTATTAGTGTTAGTAATCCTAATATTATTGCAAATCCTAATTCTGGTATTAACTCTAATCTTAATTATAATACTAATCTCAATCATAGTTTTAATCTAAATTGTAATCTTTATGACAATGTTAGTCTTAATCTTAATACTAATTCTAATCATAATCTTAACGAATCATAATTCTAATCCTTATAGAAATGCAAATATGTTAATTCTAACTTAATACCAATTCATTTATACTAATGCTAATGGTAATGCAAATCCTAATTCTAATTATAATTCTAATCATCATGCTGATCTTAATACTAATTCTAATCATAATGTTAATCCTAATACTAGTATCCATGCTAATGTTAATACTAATATACTAATGCTATTACTAATACTATTACTAATATTAATTAACTAATGCTAATATTAATATACAAAGCTAATGTTAATACTAATAATAATACTAATATACTAATATTAATACTAATATACTAATACTAATACTAATACTAATACTAATATACTAATATCAATGCATACCAATATAAATATCAATACCAATACCAATACCAATATCAGTACAATTATTAATACCAATACCAATACAAACATCAATACAATTACCAATTCCAATACTATTACCAATACCTATATATACCAATTTCAGTACAAATACTAATATCAATACCAATACACCATGACCATGACTATGACCATGACCATGACCATTACCATGACAATTATCGTTATCATTACCGTTACCATTACCATCACCAATACCAATATCATTAGCATTACCATTACCATTTCCATTATCATTACCATTACCATTACCAATACCAATATCAATATTGATACCAATATCAACCATTACTATTACCATTACC